GTGATAAAGAGGGGTATGGGCGAGATTTTAAACTTTTGTGGGGAAAGGTTTTTTGGGAGCTGAGTTTGGGACATTGGATTGAATGAATATGATGTAAGTTGGATCAATCTCGACCACTCTTTTGTTAAGCTAAGTGAAGGAATTCAAAATGAGTCATGTTTTATTAGTATAGTTGAACTCTAACACCCTTCAAGCTGGAGCATAAAGATTAAATAAGCTCAATTTAGAGCAAAGATTATTGAAAACAGATCGAGCTAATAATTTGATATCCTATTTGACTGATCCAAAAGCAATATCATACATGAAGAATATTAACTAAGAAAGCCATAAATATCAATGACCAATTAAACTCCTTTACTTCACTTCAAACCAAAGGACAAGACAAGAAAGAAAATAACGAAAATTTAGAAAAGTACAAATGAATAAATCTCTAAAACAAAAAAAGAAATCTAATTTCATACCTTTTCTTCTTTGTTCCTCTTCTTTTCAAGATCTTCGACATGTGGTTGTGCCTCAAATCCTAACTGCACTTTTAGAGACTTTGTAAATCATATCAAGCTAAAACAAATAAAAGAACTGATAAAACCATGATTAATGCATCACATAATATCTATAAGAAAGATGAAAATTGGCAAATTGAGATATAGTGACTAAACAGTATACAAAAATATATATTGCATCAGAAGAATGGACTCCACCTTACCTTGCTATTCCAAGTCCAGGTGTGTGGTGTTGGTTTNAGAAAATAACGAAAATTTAGAAAAGTACAAATGAATAAATCTCTAAAACAAAAAAATAAATCTAATTTCATACCTTTTCTTCTTTGTTCCTCTTCTTTTCAAGATCTTCGACTTGTGGTTGTGCCTCAAATCCTAACTACACTTTCAAAGACTTTGTAAATCATATCAAGCTAAAACAAATAAAAGAACTGATAAAACCATGATTAACGCACCACATAGTATATTGAAGAAAGATAAAAAATGGAAAATTGAGATATAATGACTAAACAATATACAAAAATATATATTGCCTCAGAAGAATGGACTCCACCTTACCTTGCTATTCCAACTACGTGTTGTGTGTTTTGTGTGTGTTGTGTGCATGTATAAGATAGATAGAGGAAGAAAAAAAAGATAGAAGGAATACCTGGATCTTGCAAGGGCTTCATAAAGATAGAATGGACTCCACCTCACCTCGCTATTCCAAGTGTGTTTTGTAAGTTTTTGTGGTGCTGGTTTGTGTGTGTGTTGTGTGCATGGTGTGTTATGTGCGTGTATAAAGTTATATAGAGGAAGAAAAAAAGACAGATGGGATACCTAGATCTTGCAAGGGTTTCATCTGTGGTGTCTTCGGTAGTGTATAGATGGGTCACTACCGGTGGCTCCGAGACGGCGTCATTGGAGAGATTGGTAGGAGGGAAGTTAGAGAGAGACGAGAGAAAAAGGGAGAATTGCTTGTTGGGGAGAAAAAGAATATAGAGTGGAGAGAGAGAGAATGTGTGACAGAGGAGTATAGGCGAGATTTTCAACTTTTTTTTTTTTGGGGGGGGGGAGTTTTTTGGGAGTTGAATTTGAGCCATTAAATTGATTAAGGATGTAAGTTGGATCAATCTCAACCACTCGACTCCATCGCGGCATCGTTGGAAAGAGAGAAGTTAGAAAGCGAAGAGAGAAATGAGAGAAAAAGAGCGNAAGAAAGATAAAAATTGGCAAATTGAGATATGACTAAAAAATATACAAAAATATATATTGCCTCAGATGAATGGACTCCACCTTACCTTGCTATTCCAAGTGCGCGTGCTGTGTGTTTTGTGCGTGTGCTTGTATAAGATAGATATAGGAAGAAAAAAAAGAGAAAAGGAATACCTGGATCTTGCGAGGGCTTTGTAAAGACTTAATGGACTCCAGCACCTTGCTATTCCAATTGTGTGTTGTATGTTTTGTGGTGTTGGTTTGTGTGCGTGTTGTGTTATGTGCGTGTATAAAGTTATATAGAGGAAGAGAAAAAGACAGATGAGATACCTGGATCTTGCAAGAGTTTCGTCTGTGGGGTTTTCTGTAGTGTATAGTTTGGGTCGCCGCCGGTGGCTCCATACGTCATTGAAGAGAGAGGTAGAAGGAAGTTAGAGAGAAACGAGAGAAAAAGAGGGAGGATTGGTTGTTGGGGAGAGAAATAACATAGGGTGGACGGAGAGAGACATATGTCTGACTTGGAGGGTATGCGTGATAAAGAAAAAAAGGGAGAATTGCTTGTTAGGGAGAAAAAGAACATATGGTGGAGAGAGAGAATGTGTGATAGATAAGTATGGGCGAGATTTTCATTTTTTTGGGGGGGGGGGGGGAGGGGGAGTTTTTTGGGAGTTGAATTTGAGCCATTAGATTGGTTAGGATGTAGGTTGGATCAATCTCAGCCACTCAACTCCGTGGCGGCCTCGTTGGAAAGAGAGATAGAAGAGAGAAGTTAGATAGAGAAGAGAGAAAAGAGGTAGGATTGCTAGTAGGGGAGGGAGAGAATATAGAGTGTACAAAGAGAAAGACAAAATGTTGGACTTGTAGAGTGCATGATAGAGAGTGGTATTGGCGGGATTTTTAGCTTTTGAGGCGCAAAGTTTTTTAGCAATTGGACTTGGGCAATTCGATTGAATGGGACGTAAGTTGGATCAATTTCGACCACTCGACTCCATGTCTACATCATTGGAGAGAGTGGTAGAATAAGGAAGTTTGGGAGAAAAGAGAGAAAAGAGGGAGGATTAATATTTGGGGATGGAGAGAACATAGAGCGGAGAAAGAAAGAGAGTTTGACTTGGAGAGAGTGTGTGATAGAGAGGGGTATGGGCGAGATTTTAAACTTTTGTGGGGAAAGGTTTTTTGGGAGCTGAGTTTGGGACATTGGATTGAATGAATATGATGTAAGTTGGATCAATCTCGACCACTCTTTTGTTAAGCTAAGTGAAGGAATTCAAAATGAGTCATGTTTTATTAGTATAGTTGAACTCTAACACCCTTCAAGCTGGAGCATAAAGATTAAATAAGCTCAATTTAGAGCAAAGATTATTGAAAACAGATCGAGCTAATAATTTGATATCCTATTTGACTGATCCAAAAGCAATATCATACATGAAGAATATTAACTAAGAAAGCCATAAATATCAATGACCAATTAAACTCCTTTACTTCACTTCAAACCAAAGGACAAGACAAGAAAGAAAATAACGAAAATTTAGAAAAGTACAAATGAATAAATCTCTAAAACAAAAAAAGAAATCTAATTTCATACCTTTTCTTCTTTGTTCCTCTTCTTTTCAAGATCTTCGACATGTGGTTGTGCCTCAAATCCTAACTGCACTTTTAGAGACTTTGTAAATCATATCAAGCTAAAACAAATAAAAGAACTGATAAAACCATGATTAATGCATCACATAATATCTATAAGAAAGATGAAAATTGGCAAATTGAGATATAGTGACTAAACAGTATACAAAAATATATATTGCATCAGAAGAATGGACTCCACCTTACCTTGCTATTCCAAGTCCAGGTGTGTGGTGTTGGTTTGTGTGTGAACGTGTATAAAGATATATAGAGGAAGAGAAAAAAACTGATAGGATACCTGGATTTTGCAAGGGTTTTGCCAGTGGTGTCTGTGGGGTATTCGGTAGTGTATATAGTTGGGTCGCCACCGGTGGCTCCATGACGACGTTGTTGGAGAGAGAGAGGTAAAGAGGGAAGTTAGAGAGAGATGAGGGAAAAAGAGGGAGGATTGCTTGTTGGGGAAAGAAAAAGCAATATCGTACATGAAGATTATTAACTGAAAAAGCCATAAATATTAATGGCCAATTAAACCCTTTCACTTCACTTCAAACCAATGGACAAGACAAGAAAGAAAACAACGAAAATTAGAGAAGTACAAATGAATATCTAAAACAAAAAAAGAAATCTAATTTCATACCTTTTCTTCTTTATTCTTCTTTTCAAGATCTTCGACCTATGGTTGTTCAAATCCCAACTGCACTACAGAGACTTTTCAAATCATATCAAGCTAAAACAAATAAAAGAACTGATAAAACTATGATTAACGCAACTCATAGTATTTGTAAAAAAGATGAAAATTGGCACATAGATATGTAGTGACTAACGGTATATAGAAATATATATTACATCCAAAGAATGGAATCCACCTCACTATTCCGAATGTTTTGTGTGGTTTGTGTGTGTGGATTGTGCCTGCTGTGTGCATGTATGAAGATAGATAAAGGAAGAAAAAGAGAGAGAGAGAGGATACCTAGATCTAGAAAGGCTTCGTCTGAGGTTTATGTGGGGTCTTGGGTGCGAGATCATTGGAAAGAGAGGAGAGAAAAGTGGGAGGATTGCTAGTTGGGAGAGAAAAAACAGAGTGGTGAGGGTGTGTCTGACTTGGAGAAGAAGGATACCCAGCCATGAAAATGCATAGCAACATTAAAGGGGCAGAGAGAGCAGCAGAAACAGCTTCTTGTGAACATAAAGTTGTTTACTCAGTATAACAAACCATTTAAAAATAAGATATAGGCAAACGTACAATATGTGAAGGAACTAGTGCCTGGTATTTAAGACGTAACACCTGAATCCCAAAAACACGCCTGCATGGCCATTTCCCATGATACTTGACAGACCACCTGTTGCCAAGTTCCTCTCTTCCTTCCTCCCTTACAAGCATACAGTGGTATCGACAGTCACTGTGGCAACCCCATTGTTTCCAACGTAAATAGATTGGTTCTTGTAGATACCATGGACCATTAGTGGGGTTTTAAATATCAGAAGAAACTTGACAGACCTGTTGCCAAGTTTCTCTCTTCCTTCCTCCCTTACAAGCATACAGTGGTATCGACAGTCACTGTGGCAGCTCCATTGTTTCCAACGTAAATAGAGTGGTGTTCTTGTAGATACCATGGACCATTAGTGGGGTTTTAAATATCAGAAGAAACTTGACAGGCCTGTTGCCAAGTTTCTCTCTTCCTTCCTCCCTTACAAGCATACAGTGGTATCGACAGTCACTGTGGCAGCCCCATTGTTTCCAACGTAAATAGAGTGGTTCTTGTAGATACCATGGACCATTAGTGGGGTTTTAAATATCAGAAGAAGCTTGCAGTGTTGGACGCATTTGCTCCCCAGACATCCAGTCTTCTCACATTGCTCAACACAACCACTGCCAAACCAGCAAATTGGATGATTAAAAAGCATTAGTAAAATCTATCACCATAAAAGGACACCGATGCACCAGCACATTTTATCAGAGTTTAAAGTTCAATCAGAAACTTATTCAATAGATTTTCCAAATTTCAGAATGAGTCAATCCATCATACCAGTAAATATATAATCCAGTGCAAATCCACAAACCCTTCCCTCTGTATATTAGCCCTATATGCAAATCGATATCAACATTCCATGATCCAAGGTGTCAAAGTGTAGCCTGAAATGTGAGTTAACTTGTCCAAGCATTTACTTTCGCTTAATCTGAATACCAACTTTTATTTATTGGGATCAGTAAATGTCAACACTAAGAATCTAGGACCAATAGATCATAATCATAGCTAATGGTGTCTAATACATAGAAGGATTCCTGTCTCAAAAAATTAAATGGTGAATCCAACCCAAATATGAATATCCTGTATGAGTATAGACTTAACAAATGTACAAGTAGATCTCACCTCCACAACTGATGGATACTCACATATCATGATAGATTCTTTCTTTGAACAATCGTTCCTAGAAGGAAGTCACTGCCACAATTCTTCTATAATATATGGCATAATGGATGAAGTAACCGTAACCCATTATGTCCAGACATACCCACAAGGTGTCATGTGCACATCTTCTTACAGATGCAAAACATCACATAATTCCTAATGCCACCATGAATATACTGCACTAGTTGCATCTGAAAACTCATGAATCAAGAGATGACAAGGTTTTGGATATGGCTTCGTTCATCAGAGGGGAGTAGTCATCTCAAAGCTTGCTCATGGCAAACCTTATAGCATTCCACAACCCTTTGGATATCCAAATTTATTTTATCAGACTGGAAAGATGAAATGACAAAGTTACTGAACAGTCTAAGGAAGAATAATGTAATCTGGCAAATAGAAAAAGAAAGTAGAGAAAATCACAAACCTTGGCTGTGTAAGAGACAAGGGAATAGTGCAAAGCATCTGCACCACATTCAGGAATAACATTACCCCCTCCAGCAGTTGCTCGTGAAGTCCTCCAAGGGTTATTCCACTTATCACTTCAATAGGATCAATTGTATTTCCTAAAGACTGGACATCTTACTTCCATGTGCATCACAAATCATGGGCTGCAAATAAACCTGTAGATTGTGGACAGTTCAAAATGACTCCTTAAATGAGCTGCGTGATTTTAAAACAAAACATACTTGTATTTCAAAATTGTTGTAAGTATCTATCATAACCATTTGGAAAAGATAACAAACTTTTGCTTGACTCTTACAGCTCAACCTATGATACCTCTTTTGTTCCTGTTACAACCTCACAATATTCTTTTTTTATTTCAGATATTTGACTACAAGTTTGATGCCTTACCATATGCTCTTAACAAATTTCACAATTAGCTTTCATTCAAGGTGATCCTCATTTCATTGGTAAAAGGAAAATATGCATGCCAATAATCGCCAAAACGCTTCCAGAGTTGGCAGTAATATGTTAAAAAAGCGTGGCAAAATTTGAACCTTAATCTATTCATAGTGAGGTTATCAGCACTTTATCAGAGCACAAAACTGGAGATAGCATGACACAAATATCATCCAATTAGCCACCACAACATGGTCCCCTACTATATGATAGGACTTAGTTTGCTCACCTTTCTAGAAACATCACCATTCGAGCAACCCAAAAAAAGAGAATGCCGTGTCCAGTTTCGAGAACAGAAGTCTGACAAAAAGTCTTCAATATCATCGGGCCACCCCTGCACAGACAAGGGAAAAAGGCCAGCAGAAAACCAGGTGTCCAGAACATCAGGATCCTGAGACATCTGAAACTTCTTTCCATAAAAAACTCTTCTAGTCTCTAACAGAGCTTCTTCTTCATTTCTAGCAACTACCCCCATTGGTCATTGTATGCACCAAGTTCCTTTAGTTCATCATCATCCAAGTGTCACATACCATGCAGGAATACAGTGTTAGTTCATCATCATCCAAGAGTCACATACCATGCAGGAATACGGTGGCCCCATCACAGCTGCCATTAATCATGAATGTTGTTAAGCCATCTATGTTATTTGAAACCCATTATTAAGTACAATACTCTTAAACAGGTACTTGTTAGGAAAAATTGCAACCCAAGAGGGCTCATGAGATTTTGTTTCCATCGTTCCTACAAAGCAAAATTGAACACTGTATTGAGCAAGTTAAGTTCACAAAAGAGAATACCTCTTCCATTCAGCAGCATATTGTTTTGGAATGATCTCCATTTTCTTACTTCTATCAATCATGGCAGCATCAAGAGCTTGCTTGTCCATATTATTGCAGTTGACATATCACTGAGGCTTTATCAGAGGCTACATCATTACTTCTTGAACAAAGGCCAAGTAGTATCTCATTAGCTTTAGCACCTCTATAGATTTCCCTGGATGGAAGGACAACCAAATTAATTGATGTGTTCTGTAGCTATTCTTTCTTCTATCTAAAGAAGAATCCCACCCCAAGCAAGCATATATTGCAGCTACCATGTTCCCAATTGTGACCCCAGCATGCAGAAACGTGAGTGCTCGTCAACTTTTTCTTTCTTACAAGGGGAAACACACCTAATAAAGCAGATCATTCTTCACTAGCTCTTCCAGAAACACAATAAACAAATTGCATCCATATGCATGATAAAAAGGGCAACGTGAGTCAGGAATCCCAAAAGATCAACAAAAGCTTCAAAATAGCAATATCAACAAACTCTAACATTTTTACCTGTTACAACTTATATCCATCATATACACTTAAACCAGTAATTAAAAAGTTGCCAATACCTTTTCCTGTAAAGCTGCAGTCATGCCAGCAAAATCCATACCCCCATTGCTATTTATTTTTCTATCATTTGTGAAAATGTTGATAAAGTCAAGATTATGACGCTTTCCTATTTCAAAATCGTTTGGATCACAGGCTGGATGCAAGAGAGTGCAGGCGAGCTACACTCATATAAACAATAAAAAGGTTAATCAAGTAAACTTCATTCTTACTGACACAGAGAATATTGTACCTTAACTGCTCCAGTGCCAAATTTCAGATCAACAAGAATTGCGTCACAAATTATAGGAAGCTTTCTTTCATTAAAAATGGATGTAGGCAAATTTTCCATAAAGATGACTGTATCTCTGGTCATCAGGATGTAGGGCAACAGCAGTATCACAAAGCATTGTTTCAACTCTTGTGGTGGCCACAACAATCTCTCCAAGATTTCCTTCTAGAGGGTATGCAAATGATGTCAAAACACCAAACTCCACTGGCTTTCCATATCCAGGAACCTTAAAAAATATCCTATCTTTGATTTCCACATAATCTACCTACAAACACAGACAACTTCTAGAAATGTAAAATACACTCCTGACTATGCTGTTTAGATGACACACCGGAAAATAGCTTACCGCAATATCAGATGTTGTTGTTCGCAAGACACAGTCCCAATTCACTAGCCACAGATCCCTGAGATATATAAGTCAAAAAACATAAAAAGTCTCCATAAAGGTATTTGCCCACTCCACTGCAAGGACTATATGCTGTCAAACACGATAAAAATAAAGTGTATAAAGAAAAAAATTAAGATAACCAACTGGAGCTATAATAGAGATCCTTGTAAGCCAGCAGGATTGATCCCCACTCACAAGTAATAACAAAGTCAAAACAGCTAATGTGAAGAACTAGTATAATGGCCATCACCTGTTATATGTTGCTGGTCCTGTATAGTGTGCTCAGAGGGATAAGCTGAATATAGAACAAAACTTGGCCTTATTAGCACAAAGTGGCTGACTCTCTGACTCGTCCCCGCAATCTCATACTTGAAAGTCCAATTGCACCAAGTAATGACACCTTACATCAAAAACTCATCACAATATCCTAAAACTGTTGCCATTGATTTGCTTTAGATATTTAACATCAGATCTTATGGCTATTCAAGATCGTCTCTTCATATCATCCCAAAGACATGGACATACAACCAACTGTAGACAAACCAGAGAAAAAAAAATATGTAAGTCAACGTCCACCATCTAAACTTGACCAGCAACTATGCTTCTAAGATATTTAGAGATACTAAAGACCTCTAATTCATACATTAACCAATTTTGACCACAATAACTCCTTGCACTAGATAAAAAGGCTTCTGAACTCATTCATCAGCACTGCCAAAATCTGGCACAGGTATGTGCCCTGCCTTATTTATGTTTCAAATTAGGATTCAAAGCTTTGGAGTTTGGACATAAAAAAAGAAAATGTGCAGAAATCACATCCAAGGTGCCAGGAGTAAGGTAAAACCACTTTATAATAGCATCGATAACCGTTTCAAGATCAATGATAAGTTGTCAACAACCCCTTTTTTGCTTTAAAAATGCTCCAATGCAGAATTTTTAACAACAAATATCATACAATATAAGTATAATCAGGTTTGTATGGCATTACTGTTTTCATTCTCACTTTTTTCAACTGGTGCCCCCGGGGGGTGGCGAATGCCAAAAAATAAAACAAAACAAATTATAAAAGCATGGACAACCATCTAATGAACAACAATAAGCTGTCAATGTATTATTACCTATAGATAGGAGCTTTATAATGTCAATGTGTCACAGCCTTTGATTTTTTGTCATCCATTGTAAAGCACTGTTAACGGTATTGACTTTATTTAGAGGTTAGTCAAACTTTCAATGATATTTCTCAATTCTTGTCTATCAAGACCAATCAAGAGAAGCACCCAGGCAGTGTAGTTGTTTTAATAGGGTACCCCCACACTCATTCTTCCAACTTCAGATCTATCACCAAAACATAGATAGACAAATCATGAATATGTTGGTGCAAATGATATCAAAGTTTGGGCTTCGAAATTATAATTGAAGCTGAAACAAACGACTGATAGCACAAACTCACTTCAGACACAAATCTCTCACGACCGGAATCATGCCTGGTCAAATACCTTTCCTGCATGATCTTCTTCTCCACAACGACCAGTAAATCAGCATTTAAGTTATGTATTTGAGATATAAGTTGAAGTCTCCGGAAAATCAGATTTATAGGAATGTAGCTACCGTGTGTGTTTGACCTAGGCATTGCTGCATAGATGTGATGCCATTCCACGTTAATTGGCATGAATCCAAATCGATTGGTCACACATCAGGAATCCTTCAGAACTACGAAAATCTCGGGCCAAAAACACATCTAATTCATAGTAGTACTATGCAATCTTTGAAAAGAGTTTTGATACGGGACTGACGTGAATTTCACTGGCTTATCTACCAAAAAGTAAATGGGACCATTGGAACCTTCTCTTTCCTCTTTTTTTTTTTTTTTTTTTTTTTGGGGGGGGGGGGGGGGGGGGAGTATCAATATTGTCTAATATGCAATTTTCGCTTATAATAGCATTCTTTGTGTGATGTCCGACACCAATGGAATACGAACCCTATGAAGCTGAAGAGGAAACATGTATTACATATCCAAAAACATGTGAAAAGCCTCCTTGCCCGTCCACGAATAAAGGTACAATAAATGTGCCACGATATAAAGTTGATGAAGTGATAAAAAATAAAACCTGTGTTGCTATCCCAGCATGGTCCATCCCCACACACCCACAAAGTATTATATCCACACATTTTCCACAACTGAATGATTGCATCCTACTTGTAAAAAGAGCAAATAGCAAATTAATCATAAATGAGAAGCCATGCTAAAATGCAAAATAAAAGGACAATAAGTGCAATTAGGAGACCTGGATAGCAGGCATGGCCCATATGTAGGACCCCGATAACATTTGAAGGTGGCAAAACCTGCACTCAAACAAGAAATGAAGCTTAGGAAGAACCAAATTCCAAAACTCACTTCCAAATTTCAGCCACATAATCTTAGGGTCTATTTAAAAGGAGACCTCAGGAAAAGAAGGATGGGGAATTACTTTATGTGAACATTAATTGTGTTGTTACTTCATGTTAACATTAAACTAAGTATTGTCTATCCCGACAAAAGATATACAAGGAAGGTCTTTTCTTCCCTTCCCTTTCACGCCAATGTAGGAAAGAGGAAAATGGCATGCCAATAGGCCTAGAGGAATATGCTGCCTTCCTTTTCTCATTTCCTTTTCCCTTTCCACCACAGTTTACCGCAGGGAGCATCAGAGAAATTTGGACCCTTCACAAGACATACTTACAATGTTAATCATGAAGAAAATTTAATGCAGCAATACCATCAAAAGATGTCAGATATACTTACAAAAAGTCCCAAGTATTTGCCTATGTTTAATCATCCAACAAGGGATTGGCTATTGTTTGAACACCTAGAGTTGTATTCAACTGGCTATCCGGCTCTTCTACCATCCACAGTATCCACTATGACTTCAAGTAATCATTAAGCAAAATAATATAATATTATTGCAATCACAGCAGCTACCACCAAAAGTCAAGAGAGAAACTCACGATCACAAATGGAGGTTTGGAGCTGCTATTATCAGTCACAAAGAACCCTGATTTCTCCCACNAGTATCAATATTGTCTAATATGCAATTTTCGCTTATAATAGCATTCTTTGTGTGATGTCCGACACCAATGGAATACGAACCCTATGAAGCTGAAGAGGAAACATGTATTACATATCCAAAAACATGTGAAAAGCCTCCTTGCCCGTCCACGAATAAAGGTACAATAAATGTGCCACGATATAAAGTTGATGAAGTGATAAAAAATAAAACCTGTGTTGCTATCCCAGCATGGTCCATCCCCACACACCCACAAAGTATTATATCCACACATTTTCCACAACTGAATGATTGCATCCTACTTGTAAAAAGAGCAAATAGCAAATTAATCATAAATGAGAAGCCATGCTAAAATGCAAAATAAAAGGACAATAAGTGCAATTAGGAGACCTGGATAGCAGGCATGGCCCATATGTAGGACCCCGATAACATTTGAAGGTGGCAAAACCTGCACTCAAACAAGAAATGAAGCTTAGGAAGAACCAAATTCCAAAACTCACTTCCAAATTTCAGCCACATAATCTTAGGGTCTATTTAAAAGGAGACCTCAGGAAAAGAAGGATGGGGAATTACTTTATGTGAACATTAATTGTGTTGTTACTTCATGTTAACATTAAACTAAGTATTGTCTATCCCGACAAAAGATATACAAGGAAGGTCTTTTCTTCCCTTCCCTTTCACGCCAATGTAGGAAAGAGGAAAATGGCATGCCAATAGGCCTAGAGGAATATGCTGCCTTCCTTTTCTCATTTCCTTTTCCCTTTCCACCACAGTTTACCGCAGGGAGCATCAGAGAAATTTGGACCCTTCACAAGACATACTTACAATGTTAATCATGAAGAAAATTTAATGCAGCAATACCATCAAAAGATGTCAGATATACTTACAAAAAGTCCCAAGTATTTGCCTATGTTTAATCATCCAACAAGGGATTGGCTATTGTTTGAACACCTAGAGTTGTATTCAACTGGCTATCCGGCTCTTCTACCATCCACAGTATCCACTATGACTTCAAGTAATCATTAAGCAAAATAATATAATATTATTGCAATCACAGCAGCTACCACCAAAAGTCAAGAGAGAAACTCACGATCACAAATGGAGGTTTGGAGCTGCTATTATCAGTCACAAAGAACCCTGATTTCTCCCACCATGCATACTACCTAAATGGTAATTATAAAACGGATTGCATAATGCTCAGAAAGACAATTAAATTCCAAACTTATAATTTTTTCTACTGCACTTGGGCTGTAAGCTTTTGCCATCTGGAAAGAGAGTCGTTTCTTCTCACCAAAAGGTGTTTCTGGGTCAACATAACCCTGAGGGTTTTCTTCACCTGCATCCCTCTGTAAGTTCTTCTTTTCCCTCGTTTTGAAGTTTGGCTGCCACCGTTTTTTGTGCAGCCTTAAGTTTCTTCAATTCTTTCTCTCTTGCCTATCCTGAAAAACGTGGAAAGCTATTTTATCAATCCAAAAGCATTATCATACCAAAAATAAATAAATAAACTGAGAAAGCCATACATATCAATGACCAAATAAATCCCTGTACTTCAATTCAAACTAATGCTCAAGACATGAAGAAAAATAATAATATATTGCAAAAGTACAACTGAATAAAATTCAACAAAAAAAAAAAGAAAGAAAGAAATTCAATTTCATACCTTTTCTTCATCTTTCTTCTTCTTTTTTCAAGATCTTCGACCAGTCCACCTACACTTTCATAGACTTTGTAAATCATATCAAGCTAAAAAAACCTCTTCAGAACACACATGAAACTATAGAAAAAAATCAATTCCAAAGGCTGTATAAAAAACTCTTCAGGACACTTATAAAACTAAAGAAAAAAACTCAATCCAAAGGCTTTATAAATCATAACAAACTAAAAAAACAAATTAAAGAACTGATAAAATCATGATTCATGCATCACGTAGTTTTTGTAAGAAAGATGACAATCGACACTTGGAGATATAGTGACTACTATATAAAGAAATATAGACATACAAAAACACTGTTTGAAAAAACTTTTCTCTATGTCGTCAGATTGTGCCTGTGATCCTACCTACAACCAACACAAGTTTTCTCAAATACACTTCCTAGAAAAGATACACTTTACAAATCAAACGAAATAGTAACAACAAAATCCCTATCCCTAACGTTAACAGAATCGCTCTGTCTCTATCTCTCCCTTCTCTTTTGCGCTCTCTCTCTGTGGCATGGATATATATGGGTCGAAATCCTAACGGCTACAATTTAATAAAACCCTACTATGGGGAGCGTGGGAGGTGGGACGGTTATAAGTTGGCGGTTTGGATCGGGTTATGTTCAGTTTAGGAGAAAGGAACCAAGGGAACTGCTTCACATTAAAAAAATTTACGTAAATTACACCCGCGGGTCTTAAAATCCTACGGTAAATTAGATTGGAACCCGTGATATTTAGTTTTATTACACAGATATTCCCTCATATATTAAAAACTACGCTGAAACTCCTCGATATTTCAAAGTGTGCGCAACGGTCACACCCTTCTGTTTGACAGACGTCAAATAAATAGCGAGGTAAAATAACATCATCAACAAAATTCAATATAATACCCTAAATACTCTTCTGCTATGTGATAACCTCTATCAAATAAATAAATAAATAAATTTTGAAAAGATAAATATACTCATTAGAATGCAGTTAATCTAAATAAATTTTCATACAATTTATTTAGTTAATTGTTTATAATTTAATCCAAATGTCTTACATAATTTTTTATGCAAGATTAAATTTACTACACAATTTAATTAATTGTTTACAACAATACATCTAATTGCGAGTTAACTTCTCTAATTATTAATTAATTTTGATGGTTAATTCTGATTAAAAATTAAATCCGTAAACCAAACACCATCGCCACCACTACAGTGGGTTTCGAAAACCACCTAGAAATTCTCTCGGACTACGTCGGTCTTTCAACGCCATCGAAACCCACTCCCTAGACCCTAGCCAAACCAGCAACCACCCCTCCCAAAACCTTAGATTCGACAACCAACCCCTTTGCAAAATTTGTAGCTTCCCCTTAACCCAGGCTCCCAACCCCACCTACATTCACTCCACCCTATCCCTCACGTAGTCTAACAACGCCACAACCCTTCCAACTTGTGCAACTCTCTACAAAACCCAAAAACAAAAACGAATCAATCACCCAGCTCACCACCAGCCCTAGATCTGAAAACTCTAAGTCTCAGATCATCAATCAATCATCAACTTTGCTCAAACAACAAATTAGATCTGGGATCCCAAATCTGTTGTGTGTAGGTGGTGATTCAATTTCAAATATACAATAAAATCTAGTGTGTAGAACCGGATCTGCAGTGGGTTTCGGATTGGGAGAGACGGTGATATCGGTTGTAGGTGGGTCTCTTTGGTGTTTGAGGTGTTGGTTGTTGGATTAGTAGTTGCATTTGGATTTCCGGCGACATTAGTAGTGGCATTGATAACAACGGGGGACGAGTGGGGTAGTGAGGGGAGTAGGTGATGCATCGCTGGGTGTTAAGGGTACTCACACACAGAGAGAGAGAGACTTGGGTAATAGATTTATTTTTTTAATTTTTAATCAATTAAATATAGGGAAAAATAATCTTTTTATTAATACATCTATCTATTGAAAACTTTTTGTAATGCGAAGGAATGTACATGAAATAAAATTTAGTGTCAGAAAATCTGAATGTAATTTATCATAAATCCTATCAAAAAACAACAAAACACCTTTATATTTTTAAAATGATAAAAGTTGCATAGAAAGATTTTTAATTAAAATCAATTCATTTATTTTTAAATAAATTTGGTTAAAATTCGTAAATTCTATCCAAACGACAAACACGAGTAATCAACAAAAAAATATTTATTTTTTCACATCCTTGAATCCTTGATGACCCAACTCCCCCATTAGCCCGTTCTCCATTCGTTGCCACCAATTTAGTCAAACCTACCCCTTCCTCATGCTATTCCTCTTCCTCTCTAAGTCCCAACAAACTTTTTCCATGATAGACATAATGGTTGAATAATTGATGAAAATTTGAGACAATACTCAACCAGATACTGAAAATGAAAACAAAGTCTCCGGTAGTTGCAACAAAATGATTAAAGAGGGTGTGGTGTCAACTTCGAGATCTGTGACATTTTTTAATAAAGCTATTTGAGTATATTTATTCATGACATTTCCTTTTGACGTGGTCCAAAGACAAACAAACAACAGGCAGAAAAAAAGAGAACTGAGATCCAATTAGGAGGCAGAACCCATTCATTTAGAAGATATATAGAACATGTCCTGTCCACTGAAAATAAATATCCACAACACAACTTTGAATTAAGAACTAAAAACAATATGCAGACCCCAAAGAGTTTAAGCTGATACGGGCATGGAAGATGGCTTCTAGCTATGCTACAATAAAAACAAACGCTCTTCGCAAGACTAAATGAACAACATACATTTAAGATAAAGCAAAAAGAACCAGAGAATGTTGAATTTCATTACAGAACCCACGCCCTGATCCTGTAGAAACAAAAATGCATCCGGCCCTGACCAACTGAAACTCGCTTTAATAAGCATTTTAGAGAAATGCAAAACATGCGAGAAAAAAAAAAGGAACATGCTATAGTTAAAAAAAAGTGAATATGTGATCAGCCAACAAAGTCCATTGTCCAACTGGGGCATGACCCAGATCAGGATGTGTCACTTAGCCTTTTTGATGAGGGCTGATGTTCTGAACTCGCTGTCATCCTTGATAAAACTCCACCAAAGGTAGGTAAGAGGGATGGTCGTGCCATGCCAAAGAGCATGAGCATCCACATATCCTCGGAAGGGCGGGAAGTCATACATCTCCAATAACATGGCAATACCTCCCCCAATTACCACCACCCACAGCTTCCACCGTGATGGATGCTGAGTAATTCCAGCCCAGACAGCCCACAAGAGAAACTGAGCTATGCCCATGGCCACACAAACTTTCATGTTCAAACCTGCAACATTATTATCCGATGTGAAATCAAGGCCTTAAAACAGAAGTCAAATCAATTTTCGTATAGTATAAAAGCACACTGAAATTCTGGGCCAATCAACAAAATCTTCTAGCAAGCCTTTGAATCAGCTTTCAAAGCATACATATATATTATAACAATTCTAGGTAAGAATTGCTGCTGTTGATTGATCTTGTTATTCCATAATTTCTTTCATCACATTACGGGCAACTTTAAAACACGGAAAATATATATAGCAACAAATGACGCACACGTCTCTCCCAAAACTCTCAAGCATAAATTTGCATAAAATACTAAAGCATGCAACCATTACTAGCTTTCATCCTTATAATTTCCTTGTAGCATGGACCATATGAATCTTAAAGAAGCTGACTAGTTTTTTGCTTTCGTCCTCTGATGGAAAAGGAAAAAATAAGGCATATGTCATCCACTTGTGTCAATTCTCTCTCAATTATGCTCTCCCCAGGGGTAGACCACACACAGTTAGAGATAGCCTAATCTATGACCGATATGAGCATAGACCAGATCAAATACTTTGGGCCAGTAAGAACCACAACAATACAGAAGAAAAACCAGTGGAACATTGTCCACGCAGATGGGAACGGAAATGGAGTATGCCACAGACACGCACGCGTACATAAATAGACAACTACATAATATATATATGTGTGTGTGTGTGTTCAAGTTAAAACTTTTGGATTGCCAAGTTTAGTGTTTTTCAACTGAAGTATACCATACATTAGGACTTTTTTCCCAATAAGCAATCCGCTAGGGTATCAACGTGGCCGGACATATGAATACAAGATTGACTTCCAATACCTTTTTTGCACCGTTGATGATTTAGGATAAATGAGTCTCACAAGAAAATATGGGGGTAAAATATAGTTCACTTGTGGGAAGTCAAGTGGTAAACCAAAACAATGCAAGATGAGAGAGTTAAATTAGACTATTCACAAGTTCACCAACACCTCCACCACCGTGTGGGGTTTACACAGCCACAAAGCTAAAAAAGCTTCTTCTTAAACTTCAATGAAGTGCAACAAAACAAATGACAAGAAACAACGCAACAATCAATGCACAAGAAGAATACAAGAAACAACAGAATTCAGGAGGCACAGGATGACCAAAACTTGGAAGAAGACACAATACTAGATGAATTGATAACAGCAGCATTTTGTTGCAACAAGGCTTTTGCTAAATTGATCCTGTAACTTGTTAAGCATATGAATGTGTTGAGCCAAGTGAAATCTTTCATGCCCTATGCCAAGCAGAAACTAATTTTAATCGAGTAAGTTTAAATGGGTAGTTTATGTCTCATCACACATGGTTTTGCTGCTACAGAAAATAGGCCCTTCTAGTGGCGCATTGCCTAATAGGTGTAGGCTATGGGGCCAAAGACAAAAATGGTGAAGGNTATAGTATAAAAGCACACTGAAATTCTGGGCCAATCAACAAAATCTTCTAGCAAGCCTTTGAATCAGCTTTCAAAGCATACATATATATTATAACAATTCTAGGTAAGAATTGCTGCTGTTGATTGATCTTGTTATTCCATAATTTCTTTCATCACATTACGGGCAACTTTAAAACACGGAAAATATATATAGCAACAAATGACGCACACGTCTCTCCCAAAACTCTCAAGCATAAATTTGCATAAAATACTAAAGCATGCAACCATTACTAGCTTTCATCCTTATAATTTCCTTGTAGCATGGACCATATGAATCTTAAAGAAGCTGACTAGTTTTTTGCTTTCGTCCTCTGATGGAAAAGGAAAAAATAAGGCATATGTCATCCACTTGTGTCAATTCTCTCTCAATTATGCTCTCCCCAGGGGTAGACCACACACAGTTAGAGATAGCCTAATCTATGACCGATATGAGCATAGACCAGATCAAATACTTTGGGCCAGTAAGAACCACAACAATACAGAAGAAAAACCAGTGGAACATTGTCCACGCAGATGGGAACGGAAATGGAGTATGCCACAGACACGCACGCGTACATAAATAGACAACTACATAATATATATATGTGTGTGTGTGTGTTCAAGTTAAAACTTTTGGATTGCCAAGTTTAGTGTTTTTCAACTGAAGTATACCATACATTAGGACTTTTTTCCCAATAAGCAATCCGCTAGGGTATCAACGTGGCCGGACATATGAATACAAGATTGACTTCCAATACCTTTTTTGCACCGTTGATGATTTAGGATAAATGAGTCTCACAAGAAAATATGGGGGTAAAATATAGTTCACTTGTGGGAAGTCAAGTGGTAAACCAAAACAATGCAAGATGAGAGAGTTAAATTAGACTATTCACAAGTTCACCAACACCTCCACCACCGTGTGGGGTTTACACAGCCACAAAGCTAAAAAAGCTTCTTCTTAAACTTCAATGAAGTGCAACAAAACAAATGACAAGAAACAACGCAACAATCAATGCACAAGAAGAATACAAGAAACAACAGAATTCAGGAGGCACAGGATGACCAAAACTTGGAAGAAGACACAATACTAGATGAATTGATAACAGCAGCATTTTGTTGCAACAAGGCTTTTGCTAAATTGATCCTGTAACTTGTTAAGCATATGAATGTGTTGAGCCAAGTGAAATCTTTCATGCCCTATGCCAAGCAGAAACTAATTTTAATCGAGTAAGTTTAAATGGGTAGTTTATGTCTCATCACACATGGTTTTGCTGCTACAGAAAATAGGCCCTTCTAGTGGCGCATTGCCTAATAGGTGTAGGCTATGGGGCCAAAGACAAAAATGGTGAAGGTTTGTTTAGAGCAGGCTTACCATAGTCAAGTTGATAAAAGTTCAAATACAAGATATGGGTTGTGACAAATGCAACCAGCGGAGCTGCAACCATTACCCTGGCAGCCTCATCTTTCACACTGAAAGCTCGCAGTATAGCCAGGAGAAGTGAATATCCAAGTAATGCTACACCAGATGAATAGTCCAGCTTCTCGGTCAAATCAACATCTCTGTAAAATTGCTTTATGGAATAAGACAAGAAGGAGAAACAGCAACAAGCAATAAAATGCAAGACATAAAGCAAACATGTTGGCCGATTTCATATATTCCTGTTAGGTTTTAAGAAAAACTCAGTTTATATCCTACCCGGGCAATTTTATCAAAGGTTTTTCCATCTTTTCGGTTAAAACTGGTCTATGCAACCCAATTATTTGATGAACATAACAATGTACACAATTGCACAACACATCTTGTTCAAAAAATCTTCCCTTTCCATTTTTCATTTACTGTGCAGTAAAAGGGGCACATCTTATGTAAAGTAGCAGCAACGGCCTCATAAGGACTAATGCTACTGCACGAAACTGCTTGCATGATAACAAATTGAATGATAAAAGAGTCATATATTGGAAAAAGTTTGTGCCAGTTTCCAGCTTTATTTCTCTCACCATGGAATACAACTATCTACAAAGAGAGAGATAGAAGACTGCTTACCGACTGTGGAAAACAGCACTCCAGAACCAGGCATTCATTGATATGATTGCATAGATATGCCACAAGCCGGTGTATTCATAGTAAGTCTTCCTGTTTGGCCTTAAAGGCAAGTTGTAGTTTACAAGGATGAAGAAGGATACCCAACCATGAAATTGCATAGCAAGATTAAGGGCCGAGAGAGCAACAGAAACAGGTTCCTGAGAACATAAATTGTTTAATCAGTATGGCAAAAAATTTTAAAAAATAAAATAAAGGCGAGCGTACAATATGTGAAAGAACTAGTGCCTGGTATGTAAGACGTAAACACCTGAATCCCATAAACGCGCCTGAATGGCCATTTCCCATGATACTTGACAGGCCTGTCACCAAGTTTCTCTCTTTCTTCCTCCCTTACAAGCATACAGTGGTATCGACAGTCACTGTGGCAGTCCCATTGTTTCCAGCGTAAATAGAGCGGTTCTTGTAGAAACCATGGACCATCAGTGGGGTTTTTATCAGAAGAAAAATTGCAGTGTTGGAAGCATTTGCTCCCCACACATCCAGTCTTCTCACATTGCTCAACACAAGCTCTGCCAAACCAGCAAATTGGATGATTAAAAAACATTAGTCAAATCTATGCACCCATGCACCAGCACAATTTTATCAGCACTTTACAATCTAGCAAATAGAGCTTTAATGATTATGCAAGTCAATCTAGCCAACTAATCCAAACTGAATGGGAAGAATATGGTTCCTTCTCCCACCAATTACAAAAAAGGGTTCTGAAAAAGTATTTTTGCAGTGTAATTGACTTCTTTAGAAAAGCTAGAAAACTATGCAGAACTTCAATGGGAAGACTATTGTGCCTTACCTTTTCAGTTACAGGAAAAGGCTGTGAATAAAGAGTTATTCGCCCTCAAATTAAAAATTGAGTTCAAAACCATGAGCCATTCCTTCCCTCCCTCCCTCCTACTATCCCTCTCCTCCACCCCTCACATGCTCTAACTGAAAATTGGGTTCTTACTGGAGTTTTCTTGCTTTACAAAGAGAACGATCCTGTACGGACCTTTAACAAAAACAGGCAATTACTGAACCAGATAAGCTGGGATTTCTAGTAGGCCCGCCAATGGATCACATTTTAATTATATTATTTTGATCAAGTCGATTCTATTAGCCGGATATGGATTGATATTTTTAACTCATCGTCCGGAAATGAATCCAATGACTTATATTTTATGTATTTAGATTTGGATATATATCCCAATCCGAATATTATTTGATCGGAATTATATATAGTAAACAAATATATGATGAAAATGGCCAATTATTTGTTGAAATTGTTATGTAGATTGCAATAATTCAGGTTAATTGAGGTATATGTATCAGAGTAGACCAGATTTCCAATATGTAAAGGACTCAGAAAAGGACAATGAAAATAAATTTTATCCAATATTCGGATCAGCTTCAGAGTAGAGTTTTTAATTGGCATCGGGATCAGATCAGAAATCTTATCTAGTCACGGAAGTCCACGCTTTGATTCAAAGCCCTGACCAGTAATAAATCCCTAGGAAGATCGGAGCCTTAAATCCTTCGCCCCTTCAGTCCAGTTTGAAACCTAATTCCTATGTTAAAAGGTTCAAGATTTCTATTTTGAGAACAAAGATATTCATCAAAAGGATTCAATGGTGCAACAGTGCTGAAGGAGTGAAGACTGTACAACTTGGCTAAACTTTTTAAAACCAAAAATGTAAATCCTGTGCATTCATTCCAGTTTGGCAACCTTCTCAAATTTTATTATAAAGGAGGTTATCAGAATTGAAGATGGAAATTTTGTGTCCTATATTCTTGAGCTGGTGTCTCACTTGATTTGCAAGCTTATCATTCACCAGTTGGGAAGTTCCAGGCTAAAGTGGCCCAGGCCATGATCAGTGAGATGTTCCCATAATGATTTCGGGCATCTTGCCTCTGAAATTCTTGTTTCAAGTGGCTTAAATCAAGACCAGAGAAATATTTATATAATGAGTTCCATCATCTTTCCTCTCAAAGGCTTGTAGGGAAATTCACAAATCCACAAACCAAACGATAATATTGCATCTGTACTAGGTTGTAGTGTTACTTAGATGCAGAGCAAGTACAGATATTGGCAAAATCTAGGAAGTTCCAATTTTGCTTCTTAGAAGAATCAATTAGATGATCTGCTGTCATAACTATATGCACAGAGCCAATTTCTAATCTATAATAATGATTGTGTATTCAGTTTTGGAATTTACCTTAAATTAGGTAACTGCATCAACTAACCCGAAATACTCACACTAAGCTCAGTTGATCTAATGTCGTCTTCATTCTATAGATGCCAAAAGGGATGTAAATTTTGTACTATATATATCAAATATTTTTCATTTTTCATATAGTTAACAGATCAGCAAGGAATATTTCAGCTTTCTTCTCAAAGACACAAATCATTGAACTAAGTAAAGTTAGAAATGCGAAAGACAGAGCATCAACGAAACTATAAAGAGATTAAGCAAATCTTACTTGTAAATCGGATCAGCATCACCAGGACTTGCGTTGAGAACTCCGAACAGAGAGGAGAGTGCAGCGAAGAACACAATCAAACAACATCGCGCCATTTGATCCACGAAGTAGAACAGAGAGAGATAAAGTCAAAAGCCAAACTTCGAAGATTTCTATCGCGTCCACGCACAGTAATGAGAATTCACATAAGGATTCGACTGACTATCTGCCATTGACTCAGAGAGAGAGAGAGAGATTGAAATTGTGGTGAGCGTATCGGAGGTGATTGATTCGCATGTATTAATGTGTGGATAGGGATGACAGACGTGAAAGCGACCAAGATGTGGGGACTCAGGACTGGTGGTGGAGTTTTAATATTGGGGAGTAGAGGTAGACCCACAACCTCGTGAACAGCACTCTCATGGCTATTTCACGAGAAGACACGTGGAGTACCTTGTTCTTTTACTGTAATAGCCTCTGGGATTTTCCAAAGGGCAAGGGTACGTTTGTCTGCTAGGAAAGAAAAAAAGTGAAATGAATAAAGGCCGCATAGACCAGACCCGGCCCGTCAGATAAAGGCGGGCCTGCAGCCGGTGCATGGGTCATGCTGCTCTAGTTCTACCAAAAAAAAACACAAAGTCCTCAGCCGGGGCTCGTTGGGACATTTGTAATAGAATTTAATTTCTTGATCTATAAAATATTCAAATTTTAACGTGTTTAATTTCTCGATTTTTTTAAGAATTTTTTTTTTAAATTTAACCTATTATCTACTATTTCCTCCGTTCTTAAATATCTGTCGTTTAATGTTTTTATATAAGAATTAAAGAAGCTATTAAATAACTCTAATATGAGTAAAAAATAATTATACAAGACTAAAATACTTTTATTCAATAAAGAAAGGAATATGAAAGACACTTAATCTCTACCAAATCTAATACATTAAAAAATTAAGGATAAATTTTAAAAAAAAAAATATTAATTATGATTTAATTTTATAAAATAACAGATATTATAAAATAAAAAAAATTGTGTAAAACGACATATATTTAAGAAACGAGAAAATATTTAAATTTCATTTGTTCGACCAACCAATAGGATGAAGTTAAGAGCTTGTCTTTTCAACCGTCTTTGTGGGTCTTTGTGGGTCGTAATTAGGCCAACATGTCGAGTAAAAAACCATGATCTATACACCTTCAAGCTAGTCATCAGGCTAGGGTGACCACGTGGTGGGCCACCGGGTCAGGGCTATGATCAAGAATGCCTTGACCCTGATACTAGATTAGGCATAGTTTTAGTTTAATTCTCATTGCACTAGTATATTCTGTGGTAGCTTGAAAAGGCTTGTGACATGTCAGATCCATTTGAGTCAGGATGATGGAATAAAGGCATCGCTAATGTTTTGAGGAAATTAAAAAGGAAAATAACAATAGAAGTAACCTGTTCAAGAAGATCATGGTCAGGGCCGCAGGTATTCCATTATGCCAAGCTTGCAAGCCTCTAGGAAAGATCTGAAAATGGGTTAGATGGGATTTTGAGCCGAAAACAACAGAAAAGCTTCCATTTAGCATATTTGTTAGTAGTTAATCACAATACCATTACAAACATTACTGTTTGTGCCTCTCACTACACTTCTGCAAATTAACAATCACCATGAACAGAACTATCGCAAACATTATTGTTATTCAGTTATGTGAATTTATCGGCATTGAACTTCTGAATGCTCTCTGATCATGGGAGAAGTTATGATCCATTGACAAGCAGAGATGAGGGTGCTATTTCATCACAATCTGAGAAATTTCTGTGTTGATTGTTAGTTTCTGTTGCCCATTTCCTAGCAAATGTGATATCCATTTTACCCTCTTACCAGTTGTGTTGGTGCTGCTGGAGGAATGCAGTGCTCCATTTTGCATAGACTCTTGAGTCTTCTCCAACATTAAAACAAGGCAGTTTTGTTCATGCTCCCACGAACATTGTTTGGGTTCTAAATCCGAATCTCTATTGCCAACTTCTAAGAGTGATTTTTGTGGCTGCACATCCAAGCTTCATTCGAAGGAATGATATGTGCCTGAGCCAAACCTGTAGTTTCTCTTCTTTCCTAGTTTTAACCACGTTTCCTTCTGGCACATACCAATTCATCAAATGCTAAACCCCAGTAAAAGAATGTCTTCAATCAAGACACATAAAGTAGTCAACTGTATGAGGTTCTCACTATTGTAGAATTTGGGGAGAGTTTGATGAATGCAACTTCTTCCCACTTGAGAAGAGACTATTTCCATAAATCGAACTTATGACATCCACATCACAATGGAACAAAATCAGCAATCTAAAACTCGCTCTAAGAAAATTCAGCAATTGATGCCACTACTACAAACTTAAGAACTATCTTCATCGTCTCAGCGCATATTATTCCTCGCAGATCAATTCAAATGAACAAGCCTCCACCATCTTGTTGAGTTGTGTTTCCCTACCTGGGTTCCTGGCATGTCTTCCACTAATTTGACCTAGAAGTCCATAATCCCATCAAAACAAAATTTCAGCTCTGCTTGAAGCCACATAAACCCATAATTTGGATGGAAGCTTCGGATTGCTGCCACCACCTTTAAAGCAAACAGAAGTACAACCTACATTTGTTTCCCTACAGTTAAATTTCAACAAGAACCTCACAACATGAATTTACAGAATGGCTTCCAAATGGTACTTTGAAACTCGGTAAGTTCTCGCAAATGAGATGATAACATTCAATTTGGCAAGGCATTCAGCTGGAAGGCCAAGGAAAAGATTCAAGAAACAGTCGTTTACTGGTGCAACAGTAGTCACCCCTACCAATCTACACCTCCCTTCTTTATCAAGTCTCTTCCCTCTTCCATCTCTGATTGTTCCCTCTGATTCCTCTGATGTCAACACCGTCTCCACTAGTAGTGGCGCAGCTTTATAAATATTCCATACTGAAAAGCAGAATTTGGCCTTGAACTCGAGATCAACCTATAAAACAAGCAATGGTAAAATTAACGCCACCAAGTTGAAGAATGAATGAATTCAAATTACCACATTGTAATGTTTTGTGAATATGTTTGGACCAAATTCTACATTTCTTTGTAAAAAGGCGATGAATGACACCCGTCCACCGAACAAAGTTAGAAAAGAGTTTATCACGTGGCATTCATATAATAAAAAATGAATATACAATCAGTCGATGTGGCCTGTTCAAATTCAGGAACAGTTACAACCTCTCATTAGAATTTGAAAAGGCATCAATTATCAACACTGAATGGTCTCCATAAATTTGAAAAGTAGCAGTTGAGACAAGGAAGAGATTGGAGAAGAAACTGCTTGGAGAGAACCAGATTAACCATCGATAGGAAGATACCAACAAAAGGGGAATTAACTACAAGGAAATGACACGATCAAACCCAAATCAAGCACCCACAACTTGTGCATTTTAGGAGTAGTTTTAGGCTAGAATTAGAATTATGATTAGTCTTACAGACTGTTCATTGGTCTGTTGTAACCAAAAACTTTCCAGATTAATAAAAGTGTTCTTTTTTTTTTTTTATTAATCGTTTTGCTATCACTTTAATTGCTTTAAATTCCATCGATTGATCATCCAAAGAAGTCTTGAAACAAGGCAATTGAACCTGTTAACTTTGATCAATCATAGAAAAGTAAGAGAAAGAATAACAGAATATTATTAAGGCACAATAAGCCAGAACAACCTTAAAAGAAAACTACTATAGAAGAGGTCTTTATATAGTAGTGCAAAAGGAAAACAATCAGACTAAGCTAGGGCAACATAAAAGTAAACAAAATGACTAAGTTACCCCTAAGTCTAAATAACCTAACTACTCTAACACTCTCCCTCAAACTCATGATGTGATAGCAGAAAATATCAAGAGTTTGTCAAGAAGAAAACGAAAGCAAGTGACAGGATGCGATTTTGTGAAGAAATCTGCTAGCCACATACAGTCCTCTCTTTCTACGGCGTGTCCCAATTAGCTTGTTGGACTGTGGATCCTGAAGGACCTAAGGTAAATGAACCTACTGAAGGAGATACTTTAAGTGCACCAGGTTGATGGAGAGAGATTAACTTTTGCAACTGATTAGCAAGCATAGTTAAGCTAAGTGCCTGTGAGGAGGACTCATCCACTGCTGCCTGATTTGCTGTCCCTTTTGCATTTTTGTTCATCAGTTTAGGGCATTGAGCCTTCCAGTGACCCTTCTCATGACAAAAGCTACACTCATCTAAAGCTACACGACTCCGATATTTAGAAGTCACCATGGGAGGCACAGCCAATACAGTCTGAGTAGGCAATAGAATAAGACTTTTCCCAGAAAAAGTCTTAAGACGAACTTCTTTAGCCAGAAGCTCATTCACTACTACATCCACTGAGGGAAATAGATTATGATGAAGAATAGAACCACGAAGTCCCTCGAAGTCATCCCTGAGGGCCATCAAAAATTGCACCAAACCTCTACTCCTCTCTAAAAGTGCGATATATCATATGAGTACTCAATTCAGCAAGTTTAGCAAGTGCTAACTGATCCCAATATCCAGTCATAATTGAGTAGAACTCCTGAATGTTCTTATCACCCTAACATGCAGCTCAAATTTCATGCTCTAACTGATACCTCTTTGCAAAATTAGACTGAACAAATAAGGTAGCTAAATAATCTCAAATCTCTTTAGCTGTATTAAACTAAGTCAAATGAACACCAATGGTCTGATCAACTGAGTTGTTAATCCAAGTGATGATTTTAGCGTTGTTGATTTCCCAAGTATTCTTTAAGTCAACATATTTCTCAACCTTAGGATCAGTTGGAGCTGACGAATCACCACTAACATATCTTCACATTTCCTTACCCAACAAAAAAAATTTCATAACATAAGCCCAATATACATAGCTCTTACCTTTTAAACTGACACTGATAGCCTGAAGAGAATCAGAATTTCCACCGGCCATAATACCCAAATCAAGCAACCCAAAGCAAATATTAAAGTAAACAAACAAAATCTAACAACCCAACAACCTAGCAAAGTCCAACAACACAACACCCAAATAGCAAATAAGGGCCCAATAGAAAACCAAAGCTCAACAACTTTACAAGTCAAATATTCACCCAGCTGTTCGTTCACAAATCAGCCCCAAAGGCTCAAACCCCCCAATCAGTAAGAAAGGAAACAAAAGTTTCCTACTTATTCAGTGCGAAACAATGCAAACAAACTCAAACAATGCAACGCTATGCCAAATAGCAAACCCAAACAAACAATGCAAACAAACCCAGACAACGCAACGCTATTTCAAATAGCAAGCCCAAATTAACAGAAGAATAACCAAATCAGAACTAGTCCCAAACCAGCAGTAGGTAAAATTAACAAACCCTAGTAGTTAGGATTTCTTACCTTGCAAAGACTAGTTCATCGAGGAAGACCCAACAACGAGAAGCACCAACAAAAAAGAAGAGCCAACTAACTTCAAACAATGCAAAGTTCGTCACAAATTAATTCAATAATTTTGCAAATCAAATACCCATAACAATCGAATTCGGCACTATTCATAGCGCGTGAACAGTAACTTCCGCACTGTTTACAGTGCTTAGAACCACAAAAAAAATCAGCAACCTTAATCCAAGAATAAATCGCCATAGATGATGTCAGCCCTAATCCAAGAATATATTCTTTCTCGAACTAAATTACTGTGGTGCTATAATATATTTTAAATCAAAATCATGCTCTGACACCATGTTAACTTTAATCAATCATAGAAAAGTAAGAAAAAAAAGAACAGAATATTATTAAGGGACAATAACCCAGAACAACCTAAAAGAAAACTACTATATAAGAGGTCTTTATATAAGAGGGCAAAAGAAAAACAATCGGACTAAGCTAGGGCAACATAAAAGTAAACAAAATGACTAAGTTAGCCCAAGTCTAAATAACCTAACTACTCTAACAGAACCAACCAACAAGCAATCGCCTGACATCTCTCTGTGAAAGGGATTAGGTCCATCAATTGCAGTGGAAATCCTTTGTGGAGACCAACAGAACTACATGATTATGACATTACCATGGTCTTATTAACCAAAATGTCTCTTCATTTGAGAAGAAAACAGAAAATGGAAACTTCACTGAGCTTGAAGGATATAACAATATACAGAAATTGAACATCTGGAACTTATGCATGATCCAGAAATTGAGTAATTAATTGATATGCATCATAACGTTGCTACAAAACACCAGAAGTATCATTTTCCACTTCAGTTCCATTTTTCTTTTAACAACAACAAAACTAATGCTGGACTTGGTAGGAGAGATGGAAACGAGGGAAGAAGAAAAAATGGAAATGATTGATTTTTCTTCCAAAAAGAAAAAGAGATAATTTTTCTCTCCTTCTTGTTGGTAGAACGGTCGAATAGTTGAGGGAATAACTTTCCCTAATTTGGTTTTGGAGGAAGAAAGAAGGGAAAAACATGCAAATCAAAAGTTTATAAATTGGTTTTTCTTCCCAAAAGGGGAAAAACCTTTGTGAATGGGAGTGAGAAATTTTGCTGTTGTTTACCCTACTTTATTTCTAACTTTTCCATCAAACTGAACGGAGTGTAACAATAAAGACAGTAACTACGTCCTAGAAATGGGTAATAGTACAGTAACCTACCTGGCCAGATTCTTGGTTGATAGTTCCTCGAAACTTCTCTGGAACAATATCAATTTTCATACAGGGTGGCAATGGAAATGCCAAGAACTTAGTTGTCTCAGCCGTCAATGGCGGAATATACATTTTTTCGACATCAAAATCGACAGAAATTACGCCACTGAAGCCAGTTTCTAGAGTCTTCCTGCCTCTACCACTACCCTCACCCCCTTCAGCATTGTATACAAAGTCAGGATAACTAGAAATACCCAGTTTACAAGCTCCAAGGGTCCTAAAGTTGACTGTGTATAGCTCTGTTTTTGGTGTGTGAATGGGCGTTTGTTTATTGTGATCGGTATAAGAAGAGGTTAAGGTCAATGTTTGGGTTCTAAGCTTTGATTGAACTGAAGAAGATGAAAATAAAACTGTTGGTTTCTTTCTGGGTACTCTGCAGACAGTACGATTGGACGCAAAAATTTTGCATCCCATCAGGTGGTTGACTTGCTTTTAATTCTATGAAAGAACAGAAGAAAATTTGTGGGTTTTGATGAGGAAGTCGATGTGAATAGTTCTGCTTACAGGTGCCGTTCACATCAGATCTGAATATAAGGGAAGCGGGCCAACCAAGAGGCTAGTATTTGTCCATGGCCATGGGTTACGACCTTATCATTGCCCTCAACACTCCCCTCCCAATAAATAAATAAAATAGAAAACAAGACACCAAACATCCTAATAAAATAAAATCTAATTTATTAATTTAATTTACTAAGATTTTGGATTACATGTGGTTCTATCAAACATTAAAATTTGGTGTTTATACAATGATTCTAATGAAGTCACTTCATTAGGTCAGCAAATTATGTCAAATTTTTAGGTTCAAATAATATATTTCAAAAAAAAATTCAAAAAAAATGACATATTTGCCAAAAAAATATTATTAAAAGATTTATCAGATTAATGGAAATGATTGAATTAGTGAGTGTCAGTTACTTTTATTAGTAAAATCCATTAATCTAACATTATTTGAATCCAAAAGGACCTTATATTCTAGAGAAAATAGGTGAGGATCTTAATATTGTTATATTAACTGTTTGTTTGGCTGCCAAAATTACTCAGCAGAAAAATGATCATATAGGAATTTTAATGGTAATATATAATTTTTTTTAATGGTCATATGTAATGAAATTGATCGTTAGCAGCAAGCTTATGCAGAGAAAGAACTCCTTGAGCCATTTTTGGGTTGGGACTAATGATATTTATATTTTTTTGCACAGCTCAAAGTTTTTGACCAAAAATAGATACACCATAGAAATGCCCAAAAACCTTGAATAATGGTAGAAACAGAGCCAGGCAGGCAGGAGATGGAATTGTAGCATGTACAGCTAAAAGGTTTCCATTGGTTAAGTTTTTAGACTGATAGAGGGAATAAAACTTGGAAGTCACGTTTGCAAAGCTAGACAAAACTTTATACACACGGCATAAAACAAGCAGCAATCAAGGTGTCATCTTTACTCTAATATTAAACAACTAAAACGAGCTGAGAAAACAGAAAATTATCACTTATGGTACCAGCGAGCATTAGGGTTATCCACAAACCTACTAGATTACATTAGCACAAAAACTGAAACGGGGAACATTAGTACAGTAATAGTCATTCTTCGATCAGATACTGCTGATTGAAACAGCCGATCAAACACTATCAACAGACAAGAGAAGACCTAAGAGACGTGGCAGTAGGGAGATGCGTGCATGATGCCCACCGAATAACTGATTCAGCCATCATGAGATTGAGCTGCTCAAATTCACCATGTCCAATCGTACGGTTCCTCTTCTTGTGGATGCTTGACCTTACAGACCAACTAGTTCCTCCTGCCCTTTTTGTTTGAGCTGTCTTATCCTCCATCTCTCTTGACTCATTCCCAATGCATAGAGAAGAATCTGGTACGATAAACAGGTTCCCTGTGCTTTCCTCTGCATCACAATGAAGTAGTTTCAGATGAAAAAAGTTCTTTACAAGCATAAAATGTTGAATGATAAGAAACTAGATTACCTCTATGTCCTGAATCTACACTGGATATGTTGACTGAGAGATCCAATGCACAATTTCCTTGTTCTTCCACAGTACCTGGGCTGAAAAATGCAAAGCTTGTCATTGAGAGGAAAGGGGTAGAGTATCCCAGGCTGTCTGATCCACCATTGCTATGGAAAGAAAAGCAACCAGCTTCAGAGCATGGAGTTGATGGGTCCCCCACGAAAGAAGAAAATGATGATCTGCATGGTAATGCAGGTGATGAAGCATCACAAATGACAGGGCAGCCGGTCCCAAAACTGATGTCCTCATTCCTGGTCATGAATGTCGCAGAGAAAGACCCTCCACCCAATTCGAAACAACTTTGCTTGTCACATTCATATGGTTCTTCAAAATATGGCGCTGGATCCCTCATCCAGGGGTGATCTAAAACAAAGAGAAGCAATCATCAGGTTTTTGGAGGGAAGAGAAGGGTGGGCTGTCTAAGCAAGGAAAAGAAGGAAACCCTTGGAATGACCTCACAATTCAAGAGAGATCTTTAAACTTCACACAGGCCTAATGAAAGATGTTGGGTACACTGAATTCACTACACAAATCAACACCTCAAATCAAAGTTCCAACTCATCTCAACAATGATTAGTGCTGCAAGGACATGGCCCGCATCCATCTCAGGAAATTTCTGGTGTTTGCTCAATCATATGCTGAGAAGAATTTTCTTAAGGCTACTGACACCCCAAACTACAATTTTAAGGGATCTACCAAATTGCAATTTCATGCAACAAAATTCTCCATGATGTGTTTTACTATGCTCCAAAACAACGAAGAAAAAGAGACAAAGAGGAAAAGATTTATTGTGCTGAAAGAAACTGTAACAAGTATGTATAGCAAAACTTTTTAGAGAAAACAGAAAATAATGGTTATAAATAGTCAGTTAATGTCATGCAATCTTTTTTGTTTACATGAGCTCTGTGTATCATTCTCCATTATTGGACAGTCCACTCTCCAGAGTCGATCTGTTTTTTCATGTTACTTTGCGATTTTGCATCTCTGATTCTAGCTGGTTGGTAAAAGATCATAGAACTAAACCTTGCTTTAGCCTCCTTCTACAAAATTGACGACTAGAAGCTGAGCCTGGATATCTAAATCTAATAATTACAATAGCTAGACATTTTTGGTAAAAGGACTAGTGGATAACCAATTTACCTAGAATTTGCTGAGTAGTGAGCCTTTGAGAAGGATCTGTACAGAGCATTCTCCTAACCAATTCCTTCGCAGAGTTAGATATTTGATCCCAAGGATCAGAAGGAAACCTCAAGTCAGCTGCCCTAACAGCATCAAATATCTGCGACTTAGTCTTTCCCCAAAACGGTGGCCTCCCACTAAGAAGAATGTAAAGAATAACTCCCGCACTCCAGACATCAGCCGCCTGGTTATAGCCTCCAGCCAGTACCTCAGGAGCTATATAAAATGGACTACCAACAGTCCCATGCAACATCTGCCCTGTTCGCACAAAATTCAAATGCTTAAACATACAGCCAATTTATTTGTTCAAACTAGGGAAACTTGCATGTTACATCACAGAAATGTTAAACCCACCTGGCTTGATGTAGGTTGCAAGACCAAAATCAGCCAATTTAATTGGTGAAGAGGAGGTTTTTGAGGCTAACAAGATGTTTTCTGGCTTCAAATCCCTATGTATGACACCCTTTTTGTGGCAATACATCACCACTTTCATCAGTTGCCTATATAGAACCCTCGCCTCAGCCTCAGAGAATCTCCCGAACTTCTCCAACTGGTGGAAAAGCTCCCCTCCAGCACAAAGCTCCATCACCAGATGAACATAATCTTCCTCCTCATAAACTGCCTTGAGATCTACAACATTTGGGTGTCCAGACAACCTAGTCATAATCTCAATCTCGAGCTTGATGCTCCGCACATCATCCTGGCTAACCAATCTGTCTTTAGCAATTGATTTACATGCCAATACCTCTCCGGTCAATCGATCAGAGCATGCCCGGATAATGCCAGACTGTCCCCAGCCCAGTTGCTCCCCAAGAGCATACCGATCTTTCAAATTTGATGTCTGATTTGCATCCAAAATGGTCTCACCTAAGCCTGAAACTTTGTAACAATTGCAATTCAGAAACGCTGATTCGCCATTGCTGTTGCTCTTGGCAACAGCCATACGAAAATTTGACCCCCAAATAATCAGAAAACTCTGATCAAGATGTCAGCTTTATGGTACTCTCTGTCCTTGAATTATCAACAAGCTCTTAGCAAAACCCTTCTTCTTAAAGTGGGAATCCTTAATTTCCAAGTCAAAGCACTCAATTTTACCTACATTCCAAAGTCACAACTTAAGGTCAACATATTGAAAGAATCTTCCAATAACGAGTGGTTGAAGTTTGACATCAATTTGCTTACTGAGTTATGGAAAGTACGCAGGCCGTTTTGCTTGAAAAATAAACCCCAAAGATCAAACTCTAAAATGTAATTTGCTCAATTCCTCCTGGATCACCTAGATCTGCAAACAATCAAATATGAATCAAAATTCACAATCACTCTCTAGCACAAGAAAAGTAAACGATTTTTTTTCTAGAAAAATTATAATCAATCAGTATGACAGTAAAGATTAACAAAACCCACCTGGGAAAACCCTCTGACTGATCACGAGTATTATGCCATCTATGTATATGAACTCAGGCCAGTTCAGAACAGATATCGAATGAAATTCAAACAGAACAAATTCTACTAGAACATGAACAGTGAAGTTCGATTCCGGTGGAAAAGATCCACCAATGAGTTTAAACCCAAATAACCCTCAAATAAAAACAAAAACAGCTAATACGCTGGAGCACAAAACCCCGATTTCACAAACGACAACAAAATTCAACACCTACTCTGAAAAAATTGACCATTAAAAAAGCAACCCACATCCAAAGTTTTCTCAACAAACACAAAGAGGACAAAACATGTTAAATCTCATATCTCCAAATTGATGTAGACATACAGATAGAGACAGTTGAGAGGAAGGCCTAGCCAGGAAAGAGAATAGTTAGACGCTCAGAGAGACATAGAAAGAGAGAACCACAGCAGCAGCATGTTGGAGCTGATTCACAACAGACCTCCTGTGGGCTCTCCTGGTCTCGTCCTCAGTTTGCCAAAACCAACCCCACCTGTACTTGTGTTTGTGTTTGTGTCCTTGTTGCCTTTGCCTTTGTTTTGATTGTTTCTAAAAGACCAATCCTATGTAAGTTAAATCTCCAACTCAAATTTTGTATTCGGATACCATTAGATTAATGGGTCTTGTTTATAAAAATTGATAGACCTCACTTATACAATTGTCTCCCTTCATTTAGGATGGAAATTTGGGTTAAAAATTTGGAATATACATTATTTCCCTTCTAAAATTTGCAAGTCAAAAGCTTTCTTGGAATTCAATCGATTTTCTTTAATAAATTCTTTATAAGTAATGTTGTATGATCAAATTTAGAATCTAAATGATATGATAACATATTATTTAGAGTTTTTATTGTGGTTCAAATGATATGACAGCAAATAAAGAAACTCAAGTTAGAGTTTTTATTGAGATCTAAATAACATGAGAATAAATAAAGAAGCGCAAATCAGCTGTCATGTCATTTAGGCTCTAAATTTAGTTCAAAAATTTGATCAGTATAGCATTACTCATATTTTATTCCTAATGTACAAAAGGGAATGATATTAATACTCTAATATTTGGAGCATCTCTAACCATGATTCAAATTTTTATTTAAATTTAAATTAATATTTGAGTAAAAAAGTTTGATTTGATATAAAGGACTCTAATGGACAAACTCAAATTTAAAAAAAAAATATATTTAAATTTAAATGAGGGCAAATCTAAATTTAAAAGGGAGTAAGGATGACCATTAGATGTTTAAAAGATGATGAAATATCACAATTAAATATTTAAGTAAAAATTTGAGTTAAAAAATGAGTTTCTCTTGATTTGATATAAGTTTGAGTCAAGGGTTAGAACAAATTTTTTAGACTTTTTTACTCAAATTTAAATTTAAGTCTAAATTTGACTAAGGGTTGGAGATGCCCTATTTTAATAATTGTATAAATTTTATATTTTTTTATGGTAAAATAATCTTAATGACTATTAATACAAATGTTCCACAAAACACATTGCTCTACCATTTGTACTATAAAATATAATTTTTTAAATTCAAGTTATAATATTTCAAAGATGTAAATTATAACCGTAGACATCATGATTGATCTCAAAATATTATATTTGATTATGAAAATTATAATTTCTAAAGATAAAATTATAATTTTTGGAGGTAATTTATAATCGATCGTAAATTATCTCAAGCAATTATAAATTAATATAATTTTTAAAAAATATTAACTTTTAGTATGGTATCAAAACTTGAGAAAATAATATTACACCCTAGGTTCTAGAGAATAGATCATGTGTAAACATAACAATTGACATTATTCAACAGATTGATTATCCTTGAATCCGAATGAGCAAAGTTGGAATTGGTAGTCCAATTTTTTTTATAACCCAATTGTCCGACCTTGTGTAAAGTTATTTCTCCACACAAAGAGATAAATGTATAGGCAGTGACACCACCAGAGGGTGACCACTGCATAAAATATTTAAATCCTTCATCTATGCCTGGAAAAACACTTATCAAGTTGTTGAGCTACCACTAGATAGACCATAGTTTGACCATATAGAAAATTAGGTAATTAACAACACCGATCTAAATTTGAGTTTAAATTTATTTAGTAAATTTAATTTAACTCAATTCAATAAAATCTTAATTTGAACTCTTTGGAGTAGACTCAAACTCACTCCTCATGGATTAATTCTGCTCTCGGGTTGTACAGATGATAGTGTTGGGCAAGTTGAAATCATGTTTGTAAATTATGGGTATTTAGAGGGGGCTTGGTTCAAATATAATGGAAAAGAAAAGATGCATTGGCCCATCATATAGTCTTCTTCTTCCATTGGAATCCAGAAAGTCAAACAGTCACTATTATACGAAGTCGTCTAGCGCAAGAACAGCACAAAGACAAAGACCTTGGTCTATCTAATTCATCTAGTGCAATTTGGGCAGACTGAAAAGGTTAGAGGATCCATCTAAACTCAAATCACAATTATAAAACTTTTAATTTTAATTCAATTTGGGCCAAATTTTCAACCCAAATATTACTCAAATTAATTTTAAATTTATTTAATTTGTTCTACCGGCTAACTAATTCAAGTTCATAGTTCGGGTTTAATTTTGAATTTAATTTTTTACATGAGCTTGATCAACTTAAATTTAAAATAAATTCAATAACAATTTAAAATATAATTAAATTATATATATATATATATATATATATATATATAT